TTGTGTGTCTGAGTAAGTCATTGTGTTGTGTGTGAGTAAGTCATTGTGTTTGTTCTGAGTAAGTCATTGTGTTGTGTGTGTCTGAGTAAGTCATTGTGTTGTGTGTCTGATAAGTCTTGTGTTGTGTGTGCTGAGTAAGTCATTGTGTTGTGTGTCTGAGTAAGTCATTTTGTTCTGTGTGTGTGTCTGAGTAAGTCATTGTGTTGTGTGTGTCTGAGTAAGTCATTGTGTTGTGTGTCTGAGTGTTTTTGTGTGTGTTGTGTGTATGTAAGTTATTGTGTTTGTGTTGTGTGTCTGAGTAAGTCATTTTGTCTGAGTAAGTTATTGTGTTGTGTGTCTGAGTAAGTCATGTGTGTTGTGTGAGTAAGTCATTGTGTGTGTCGAGTAAGTCATTTTGTTGTGTGTCTGAGTAAGTCATTGTTTTGTGTCTGAGTAAGTCATTTTGTTGTGTGTCTGAGTAAGTCATTGTGTTGTGTGTGTCTGAGTAAGTCATTGTGTTGTGTGTGTCTGAGTAAGTCATTGTGTTGTGTGTGTCTGAGTAAGTCATTGTGTTGTGTGTCTGAGTAAGTCATTGTGTTGTGTGTGTCTGAGTAAGTCATTGTGTTGTGTGTCTGAGTAAGTCATTGTGTTGTGTGTGTCTGAGTAAGTCATTGTGTTGTGTGTCTGAGTAAGTTATTGTGTTGTGTGTCTGAGTAAGTCATTGTGTTGTGTGTCTGAGTAAGTCATTGTGTTGTGTGTCTGAGTAAGTCATTGTGTTGTTGTGTGTCTGAGTAAGTCATTGTCATTTTGTTGTGTGTCTGAGTAAGTCATTTTGTTGTGTGTCTGAGTAAGTCATTTTGTTGTGTGTCTGAGTAAGTCATTTTGTTGTGTGTCTGAGTAAGTCATTGTGTTGTGTGTCTGAGTAAGTCATTGTGTTGTGTGTGCTGAGTAAGTCATTGTGTTGTGTGTGTCTGAGTAAGTCATTGTGTTGTGTGTCTGAGTAAGTCATTTTGTTGTGTGTGTCTGAGTAAGTTATTGTGTTGTGTGTCTGAGTAAGTCATTGTGTTGTGTGTGTGTCTGAGTAAGTCATTGTGTTGTGTGTGTCTGAGTAAGTCATTGTGTTGTGTGTGTCTGAGTAAGTCATTGTGTTGTGTTGTGTGTGTCTGAGTAAGTCATTGTGTTGTGTGTCTGAGTAAGTCATTGTGTTGTGTGTCTGAGTAAGTCATTGTGTTGTGTGTGTCTGAGTAAGTCATTGTGTTGTGTGTCTGAGTAAGTCATTGTGTTGTGTGTCTGAGTAAGTCATTGTGTTGTGTGTGTGTCTGAGTAAGTCATTGTGTTGTGTGTGTCTGAGTAAGTCATTGTGTTGTGTGTGTCTGAGTAAGTCATTGTGTTGTGTGTCTGAGTAAGTCATTGTGTTGTGTGTCTGAGTAAGTCATTGTGTTGTGTGTCTGAGTAAGTCATTGTGTTGTGTGTCTGAGTAAGTCATTGTGTTGTGTGTCTGAGTAAGTTATTGTGTTGTGTGTATGAGTAAGTTATTGTGTTTGTGTTGTGTGTCTGAGTAAGTCATTTTGTTGTGACTGAGTAAGTTATTGTGTTGTGTGTCTGAGTAAGTCATTGTGTTGTGTCTGAGTAAGTCATTGTGTTGTGTGTGTCTGAGTAAGTCATTTTGTTGTGTGTCTGAGTAAGTCATTTTGTTTTGTGTCTGAGTAAGTCATTTTGTTGTGTGTCTGAGTAAGTCATTGTGTTGTGTGTGTCTGAGTAAGTCATTGTGTTGTGTGTGTCTGAGTAAGTCATTGTGTTGTGTGTGTGTCTGAGTAAGTCATTGTGTTGTGTGTGTCTGAGTAAGTCATTGTGTTGTGTGTGTCTGAGTAAGTCATTGTGTTGTGTGTCTGAGTAAGTCATTGTGTTGTGTGTCTGAGTAAGTCATTGTGTTGTGTGTCTGAGTAAGTTATTGTGTTGTGTGTATGAGTAAGTTATTGTGTTTGTGTTGTGTGTCTGAGTAAGTCATTTTGTTGTGACTGAGTAAGTTATTGTGTTGTGTGTCTGAGTAAGTCATTGTGTTGTGTCTGAGTAAGTCATTGTGTTGTGTGTGTCTGAGTAAGTCATTTTGTTGTGTGTCTGAGTAAGTCATTTTGTTTTGTGTCTGAGTAAGTCATTTTGTTGTGTGTCTGAGTAAGTCATTGTGTTGTGTGTGTCTGAGTAAGTCATTGTGTTGTGTGTGTCTGAGTAAGTCATTGTGTTGTGTGTGTCTGAGTAAGTCATTGTGTTGTGTGTGTCTGAGTAAGTCATTGTGTTGTGTGTGTCTGAGTAAGTCATTGTGTTGTGTTGTGTGTCTGAGTAAGTCATTGTGTTGTGTGTGTCTGAGTAAGTCATTGTGTTGTGTGTCTGAGTAAGTCATTGTGTTGTGTGTCTGAGTAAGTCATTGTGTTGTGTGTCTGAGTAAGTCATTGTGGCGTGTGTCTGAGTGAGTCATTGTGTTGTGTGTCTGAGTAAGTCATTGTGTTGTGTGTGTCTGAGTAAGTCATTTTGTTGTGTGTCTGAGTAAGTCATTTTGTTTTGTGTCTGAGTAAGTCATTTTGTTGTGTGTCTGAGTAAGTCATAGTGTTGTGTGTCTGAGTAAGTCATTGTGTTGTGTGTCTGAGTAAGTCATTGTGTTGTGTGTCTGACTAAGTCATAGTGTTGTGTGTCTGAGTAAGTCATTGTGTTGTGTGTCTGAGTAAGTCATTGTGTTGTGTGTCTGAGTAAGTCATAGTGTTGTGTGTCTGAGTAAGTCATTTTGTTTTGTGTCTGAGTAAGTCATTTTGTTGTGTGTCTGAGTAAGTCATTGTGTTGTGTGTCTGAGTAAGTCATTTTGTTGTGTGTCTGAGTAAGTCATTTTGTTGTGTGTCTGAGTAAGTCATAGTGTTGTGTGTCTGAGTAAGTCATTTTGTTTTGTGTCTGAGTAAGTCATTTTGTTGTGTGTCTGAGTAAGTCATTGTGTTGTGTGTCTGAGTAAGTCATTTTGTTGTGTGTCTGAGTAAGTCATTTTGTTGTGTGTCTGAGTAAGTCATAGTGTTGTGTGTCTGAGTAAGTCATAGTGTTGTGTGTCTGAGTAAGTCATTGTGTTGTGTGTCTGAGTAAGTCATTGTGTTGTGTGTCTGAGTAAGTCATTGTGTTGTGTGTGTCTTCTTCTCCTCCTCCGCGGTGGAAAACCTCAGACAGAGTTTTATGGATTTGTTATTTGCTTGAAGTGAAGATTTATGTAAATGTTAATGCGACACTTTTATGCATTTATAAAAGCATCGAGTGACGTTAATGTGTTCGTCTATAAATAATCATGGATCTAAAATATGCATTTTTAAAGTCCTCTGAAGACGGTTCCACGATCGTCTAAACGTTGAGGGATCCGTGTCTTTGATGAAAGGCAACATTTAAAGTTCTGCTGCGACTTGTGACTTTGAACGGCGGCCATTTGTAAAGAAGCATTTGTTTATAGTTATCTGGGGAAAGGCTCAAAATGGCCGTTTTAAATAACATTCTTTGTCAATGTTGCGAAAAATATAAAATCCCTCAGTTGTAGCACAGCTAAACAGAACTGTCATTAACCTGGTTTTAAACATTGTCAGAGAGGAGGCCTGTCTCACATCTTCAGGAAGATTGTTCCAGATTTTAGCAGCATGAATATGAAAAGCAGCCTCCCCATGTTTAGTTCTGACTCTGGGCACTAACAGGAGTCCAGTCCCTGTGCTCCTCAGAGTCCCAGCAGGAGTCCAGTCCCTGTGCTCCTCAGAGTCCCAGCAGGAGGCCAGTCCCTGTGCTCCTCAGAGTCCCAGCAGGAGTCCAGTCCCTGTGCTCCTCAGAGTCCCAGCAGGAGTCCAGTCCCTGTGCTCCTCAGAGTCCCAGCAGGAGTCCAGTCCCTGTGCTCCTCAGAGTCCCAGCAGGAGGCCAGTCCCTGTGCTCCTCAGAGTCCCAGCAGGAGTCCAGTCCCTGTGCTCCTGAGAGTCCCAGCAGGAGTCCAGTCCCTGTGCTCCTCAGAGTCCCAGCAGGAGTCCAGTCCCTGTGCTCCTCAGAGTCCCAGCAGGAGACCAGTCCCTGTGCTCCTCAGAGTCCCAGCAGGAGACCAGTCCCTGTGCTCCTCAGAGTCCCAGCAGGAGACCAGTCCCTGTGCTCCTCAGAGTCCCAGCAGGAGGCCAGTCCCTGTGCTCCTCAGAGTCCCAGCAGGAGACCAGTCCCTGTGCTCCTCAGAGTCCCAGCAGGAGTCCAGTCCCTGTGCTCCTCAGAGTCCGGGCTGGTTCATATGGGACTAACATGTCACTAATATATTTTGGTGCGAGGCCATGGAGAGACTTGTAACAAGCAGAGCTGTTTTAAAGTCTATTCTCTGAGCCACAGGAAGCCAGTGCAGAGACCTGAGAATCAGAATCAGAATCATTTTTATTGCCACGTAAGTAACAGGAGGTCACAGACTTGGACATTGCTTTGGCTCAGTGCAACAGTCAGAGAGAGAGAATAAAAAATAAGGAATGAAAAACCCTTCTAAGGAATAAATTAAAAATTAAAATTAAAAAAGAGATACTATTCCTATATACAATATACATACTGTACATACATAGAACTGGACTAATGCGATCCTTCCTCCTCGGAAATGGACGTGAGGATTGATTCGACTCTGGCAGAAAACTGTCAAACCATTTACAAGTGAACAATAATATCAACAAAAATGTATGTTCCGTAACACACCAGACTGTACACGGACGATGCTAACACCAGACTGTACACGGATGGACCATGCTAACGCGCTAGCTCATGAAACCCTAAAGTTTCAAGGATTAAGTCTGGCTCTAACCCGCTCTGGCTCAGTCTCTGTTTGTGGTTCTGTGGTTTTTCTACAATCTCTCCATGATTTCTGATTTGATGTTTGTGAATCAGAGCCTCATAAGGGTGTGAAAAAGTTTGCAAGCCATGTTTGTTTATATTTTCACATATCAGGAACAATACACTTCTTATGGGTGGCATGAAACTACAAAACACTGTATCTGAACTTATTTATCTCTGACTTTTGGCCTCTGAACACGGAAATGTACTGTGATATTTGAAGTGGAATTTAAGTATGCGTCCGTCAGCAGCAGATCCAGCAGCAGTAGATCCAGCAGCAGCAGATCCAGCAGCAGTAGATCCAGCAGCAGCAGATCCAGCAGCAGCAGATCCAGCAGCAGTAGATCCAGCAGCGGCAGATCCAGCAGCGGCAGATCCAGCAGCAGTAGATCCAGCAGCAGCAGATCCAGCAGCGGTAGATCCAGCAGCGGTAGATCCAGCAGCAGCAGATCCAGCAGCGGCAGATCCAGCAGCGGCAGATCCAGCAGCGGCAGATCCAGCAGCAGCAGATCCAGCAGCAGCAGATCCAGCAGCGGTAGATCCAGCAGCGGTAGATCCAGCAGCGGTAGATCCAGCAGCGGCAGATCCAGCAGCAGTAGATCCAGCAGCGGCAGATCCAGCAGCGGTAGATCCAGCAGCGGCAGATCCAGCAGCGGCAGATCCAGCAGCGGCAGATCCAGCAGCAGTAGATCCAGCAGCGGTAGATCCAGCAGCAGCAGATCCAGCAGCGGCAGATCCAGCAGCGGTAGATCCAGCAGCGGCAGATCCAGCAGCAGTAGATCCAGCAGCAGCAGATCCAGCAGCGGCAGATCCAGCAGCGGCAGATCCAGCAGCGGCAGATCCAGCAGCGGCAGATCCAGCAGCGGCAGATCCAGCAGCAGTAGATCCAGCAGCAGCAGATCCAGCAGCGGTAGATCCAGCAGCGGCAGATCCAGCAGCGGCAGATCCAGCAGCGGCAGATCCAGCAGCGGCAGATCCAGCAGCAGTAGATCCAGCAGCAGTAGATCCAGCAGCAGCAGATCCAGCAGCAGCAGATCCAGCAGCAGCAGATCCAGCAGCGGTAGATCCAGCAGCGGTAGATCCAGCAGCGGCAGATCCAGCAGCGGTAGATCCAGCAGCGGCAGATCCAGCAGCGGCAGATCCAGCAGCAGTAGATCCAGCAGCAGTAGATCCAGCAGCAGCAGATCCAGCAGCAGCAGATCCAGCAGCAGCAGATCCAGCAGCGGCAGATCCAGCAGCGGTAGATCCAGCAGCGGTAGATCCAGCAGCGGCAGATCCAGCAGCGGTAGATCCAGCAGCAGTAGATCCAGCAGCAGCAGATCCAGCAGCAGCAGTCGGGCTCAGAGCGTGTGGGCCGCGCCGTGAGAAATCTCTGCTAATAAGGACCGACTCCGGAGGAAAAACGGCACGTTGTCAATTTGCAGCTGGTGTCGTTCTTCCCGATAATGAAGCCGGAGAATCAGCAGCTGCGGCATTTCGGGAATTTGGCTTCTGGCAAAATCCTTACAGAGAAGCAGAGACGCGGCCAAAACATGAGACGGGAAGATTTTCAGAGACACATTCTGCAAAATGTACTTTATATTGGGGCTTTTCAACCGCTTTACAACATTGTTCTAACATGAGAAACAGACCTGGAGCTGTTTTTAGCTCCATACAGTCTATTATTGTGACATTTTGGCTCAAATCACAGCCGGATTTGAGCCGGATTTTTTTCTACAACTGCTACATTCTTAACTTTGACCCCGCAATGTTAGACTGTCTAAAAGTATATCTGTCAGATCAGATTCAGATTTAGTTTTGCACCAGAAAAGTACATTAGTAAAATAAAAAAGTATTTTCTCTGTGAAATCAATCAAACTAAAACAGTTTAAATAAGAGCAATATCACTAAAGTATTTTGTTTAAACAGTTTGTGGAAAGAAGCTGAATCTCAACAAACAATATATTCTGGGGGAAGAAGCTGGAACATGGCTTTTCCAGGGGCCAGAAAATTCATGAAAATGTTGCAAAACAGGAGAATGACAGAGAAAATACAGAAGATATTAATAATAATAATAATAATATAACAAAAAATATAAATAATTAAAAATAATGGGGTTAGGGTAATTTGAGTGAGAGTAGAGAGAGAGAGAGAGGGAGACCAGGGAGACCAGAGAGAGAGAGAGGGAGAGAGAGAGAGAGAGGGAGACCAGAGAGAGAGAGACCAGAGAGAGAGAGAACAGAGAGAGAGAGAGACCAGAGAGAGAGACCAGAGAGAAAACACAAGAAATGATACGTACAAAGTATTCTGTAAAACTGCAAATGAGACAAACCTCTGGGATTTGTCGGAGCAGGTCGAGACTCATTCATTAACTTCCTGATCTGTCCGTGCGCGGCTCGAGTGACCGCTTCCTCCTCAAAGTCAGGAAAACTCTGAGGAAATTCAATTCTCGCGGCTTAGTGGCCTGACGCGACACTTTTGTTGGAAAACTTTTTGACTCCATGACTTTGAAAGTGAGCCCTGCGCCATTCTGCACTGTATCCTGTCGGCTTAACCCGTCCTCCTCACTCTCCCGACACTCCCGCTAATCCACAACCTCGTACCGTATCTGCCACTGCTCGCCGAGCCGGGAACGCCAGAGGAAGCTGGAGGAGGCGAGAGGAGGCTAAAGTAAGCTGGAGCAGTGTCTCCCAAAGTGGGGTCCGAGGGTATTCTGGTGGGGGGGGGTCGTCAAAAAAAAAAAAAAGTTTGTATTATTATTGTTTGTTAAATTAATAAGAAGAGCCTATTTTTAACATTGGCTTCTTGGTTTTTATTTTGGGGGCCTCACAGACCCGTCAGATTTTTAAAGGGGCCACGGTGTTACTGACTTTGGAGCTTAAGAGCAGGGTAGAGCAGGGTAAGAGCAGGGTAGAGCAGGGTAAGAGCAGGGTAGAGCAGGGTAAGAGCAGGGTAGAGCAGGGTAAGAGCAGGTAGAGCAGGGTAGAGCAGGGTAGAGCAGGGTAGAGCAGGGTAGAGCAGGGTAGAGCAGGGTAGAGAAGGGTAAGAGCAGGTAGAGCAGGTAGAGCAGGGTAGAGCAGGTAGAGCAGGGTAAGAGCAGGGTAAGAGCAGGGTAGAGCAGGGTAGAGCAGGGTAAGAGCAGGTAGAGCAGGGTAAGAGCAGGGTAAGAGCAGGGTAGAGCAGGTAGAGCAGGGTAAGAGCAGGGTAGAGCTGGGTAGAGGAGGGTAAGAGCAGGCAGAGCAGGGTAAGAGCAGGGTAAGAGCAGGTAGAGCAGGTAGAGCAGGTAGAGCAGGGTAGAGCAGGGTAAGAGCAGGTAGAGCAGGGTAGAGCAGGGTAAGAGCAGGGTAGAGCAGGTAGAGCAGGGTAAGAGCAGGGTAGAGCAGGGTAAGAGCAGGGTAGAGCAGGGTAAGAGCAGGTAGAGCAGGGTAGAGCAGGGTAGAGCAGGGTAGAGCAGGGTAGAGCAGGGTAGAGAAGGGTAAGAGCAGGTAGAGCAGGTAGAGCAGGGTAGAGCAGGTAGAGCAGGGTAAGAGCAGGGTAAGAGCAGGGTAGAGCAGGGTAGAGCAGGGTAAGAGCAGGTAGAGCAGGGTAAGAGCAGGGTAAGAGCAGGGTAGAGCAGGTAGAGCAGGGTAAGAGCAGGGTAGAGCTGGGTAGAGGAGGGTAAGAGCAGGCAGAGCAGGGTAAGAGCAGGGTAAGAGCAGGTAGAGCAGGGTAGAGCAGGGTAAGAGCAGGTAGAGCAGGTAGAGCAGGTAGAGCAGGGTAGAGCAGGGTAAGAGCAGGTAGAGCAGGGTAGAGCAGGGTAAGAGCAGGGTAGAGCAGGTAGAGCAGGGTTAGAGCAGGGTTAGAGCAGGGCTAGAGCAGGGCTAGAGCAGGGTTAGAGCAGGGCTAGAGCAGGGCTAGAGCAGGGCTAGAGCAGGTAGAGCAGGGTAAGAGCAGGGTAGAGCAGGTAGAGCAGGGTAAGAGCAGGGTAGAGCTGGGTAGAGGAGGGTAAGAGCAGGTAGAGCAGGGTAAGAGCAGGGTAGAGCAGGTAGAGCAGGGTAAGAGCAGGGTAGAGCAGGGTAAGAGCAGGTAGAGCAGGGTAAGAGCAGGGTAAGAGCAGGTAGAGCAGGGTAGAGCAGGGTAGAGCAGGGTAGAGAAGGGTAAGAGCAGGTAGAGCAGGTAGAGCAGGGTAGAGCAGGGTAGAGCAGGTAGAGCAGGTAGAGCAGGGTAGAGCAGGGTAGAGCAGGGTAAGAGCAGGGTAAGAGCAGGTAGAGCAGGTAGAGCAGGGTAAGAGCAGGTAGAGCAGGGTAAGAGCAGGTAGAGCAGGGTAAGAGCAGGGTAGAGCAGGGTAAGAGCAGGTAGAGCAGGTAGAGCAGGGTAAGAGCAGGTAGAGCAGGGTAAGAGCAGGTAGAGCAGGGTAAGAGCAGGTAGAGCAGGTAGAGCAGGGTAAGAGCAGGGTAAGAGCAGGTAGAGCAGGGTAAGAGCAGGGTAAGAGCAGGTAGAGCAGGGTAGAGCAGGTAGAGCAGGGTAGAGCAGGGTAAGAGCAGGTAGAGCAGGGTAGAGCAGGGTAAGAGCAGGTAGAGCAGGTTAAGAGCAGGGTAGAGCAGGGTAAGAGCAGGGTAGAGCAGGTAGAGCAGGGTAAGAGCAGGGTAGAGCAGGTAGAGCAGGGTAAGAGCAGGTAGAGCAGGGTAAGAGCAGGTAGAGCAGGGTAAGAGCAGGTAGAGCAGGTAGAGCAGGGTAAGAGCAGGTAGAGCAGGGTAAGAGCAGGTAGAGCAGGTAGAGCAGGGTAAGAGCAGGGTAAGAGCAGGTAGAGCAGGGTAAGAGCAGGGTAAGAGCAGGTAGAGCAGGGTAGAGCAGGTAGAGCAGGGTAGAGCAGGGTAAGAGCAGGTAGAGCAGGGTAGAGCAGGGGTAAGAGCAGGGTAGAGCAGGTAGAGCAGGGTAAGAGCAGGGTAGAGCAGGGTAAGAGCAGGGTAGAGCAGGTAGAGCAGGGTAAGAGCAGGGTAGAGCAGGGTAAGAGCAGGTAGAGCAGGGTAAGAGCAGGGTAGAGCAGGGTAAGAGCAGGTAGAGCAGGGTAAGAGCAGGTAGAGCAGGTAGAGCAGGGTAAGAGCAGGTAGAGCAGGGTAAGAGCAGGTAGAGCAGGTAGAGCAGGGTAAGAGCAGGTTAGAGCAGGTAGAGCAGGGTAAGAGCAGGGTAGAGCTGGGTAGAGGAGGGTAAGAGCAGGTAGAGCAGGGTAAGAGCAGGGTAGAGCAGGGTAAGAGCAGGTAGAGCAGGGTAAGAGCAGGGTAGAGCAGGGTAAGAGCAGGTAGAGCAGGTAGAGCAGGGTAAGAGCAGGTAGAGCAGGGTAAGAGCAGGTAGAGCAGGGTAAGAGCAGGTAGAGCAGGTAGAGCAGGGTAAGAGCAGGGTAAGAGCAGGTAGAGCAGGGTAAGAGCAGGGTAAGAGCAGGTAGAGCAGGGTAGAGCAGGTAGAGCAGGGTAGAGCAGGGTAAGAGCAGGTAGAGCAGGTAGAGCAGGGTAGAGCAGGGTAAGAGCAGGTAGAGCAGGGTAAGAGCAGGTAGAGCAGGGTAGAGCAGGGTAGAGCAGGTAGAGCAGGTAGAGCAGGGTAAGAGCAGGTAGAGCAGGGTAAGAGCAGGTAGAGCAGGTAGAGCAGGGTAGAGCAGGTAGAGCAGGGTAAGAGCAGGTAGAGCAGGGTAAGAGCAGGGTAAGAGCAGGCAGGTAATAGAGCAGGGTAAGAGCAGGTAGAGCAGGTAGAGCAGGGTAAGAGCAGGGTAAGAGCAGGTAGAGCAGGGTAAGAGCAGGGTAAGAGCAGGTAGAGCAGGGTAGAGCAGGTAGAGCAGGGTAGAGCAGGGTAAGAGCAGGTAGAGCAGGGTAAGAGCAGGTAGAGCAGGTAGAGCAGGGTAGAGCAGGTAGAGCAGGGTAAGAGCAGGTAGAGCAGGGTAAGAGCAGGGTAAGAGCAGGTAGAGCAGGGTAAGAGCAGGTAGAGCAGGGTAGAGCAGGGTAGAGCAGGTAGAGCAGGGTAAGAGCAGGTAGAGCAGGGTAAGAGCAGGCTAAGAGCAGGTAGAGCAGGGTAGAGCAGGGTAGAGCAGGTAGAGCAGGGTAAGAGCAGGTAGAGCAGGGTAAGAGCAGGGTAAGAGCAGGGTAGAGCAGGGTAGAGCAGGGTAGAGCAGGTAGAGCAGGGTAAGAGCAGGTAGAGCAGGGTAAGAGCAGGGTAAGAGCAGGTAGAGCAGGGTAGAGCAGGTAGAGCAGGGTAAGAGCAGGGTATCAGAGAATCATACACAACTAATGCAACGATAACAAACGTGTTGTGTGTGTTGATTGTGTGGGTTGTGTTGATTGTGCGAGTTGTGTTGATTGTGTGAGTTGTGTTGATTGTGTGATTTGTGTTGATTGTGTGAGTTGTGTTGATTGTGTGAGTTGTGTTGATTGTGTGGGTTGTGTTGATTGTGTAAGAAAGGTTGGATCCAAATAAGTGTCTGCTTCGTTCAGTTGTTTACTATTTATATTGTTGTCTGTACGATACAAACACATTAGTATTGGTCCATAAGGGACAGAGACCAACGTCCACAAACACCCTCCCTCTTGCCGATGCCAGAGGGAGCCAGAGGGAGCCGGAGGGAGCCGGTAAGAGGAGAGGAGTTTGAGGCTCCACTTTCAGCTGCTCTGGATTTGCAAACTCAGCAGAAAAGGCCGGACCGGTGGATAAACGATACCGCGACAAATGGGTCCAAAGCTAACCCAGTTCTGCTCTGGTCTAAAACACCTGGGGATGTTTCTGCTACACTTATATATGAAACTGGTGATTTCTTCTTTTGGGCTGTGTGTTTCTTAAACCTCTGACTCTTGTGTGATAAGAATAACTACACAGCGTTACAACACATCGCTGCTTCAGTCCAACACGTTTGTGCCACTGCTTTTTAAGGGCCCCCGAAAGAAACAGCGTCTGAGTCCTGCCTTTACTCCCAGGCATTTTGGGGATTGGATCCAGCTGGCCAACGCACACACACACACGCATACAGACACACACACACACACGCATGCATAAAGACGCACATACACTCTCTCTCTCACACACACACACACACTCTCTCTCACACACATGCACACACACACACTCTCTCACACACACACACACACACACACACACACACACACGCATGCATACAGACGCACATATACTCTCTCTCTCACACACACACACACACACACACACGCATGCATACAGACGCACATATACTCTCTCTCTCACACACACACACTCTCTCACACACATGCACACACACACTCTCTCTTTCTCACACACACACACACACACACTCTCTCTCACACACATGCACACACACACTCTCTCTTTCTCACACACACACACACACACACACACTCTCTCTTTCTCATACACACACACACACACAGGCTCCTCACTCCCTCATTACCACCAGGCCTCGGCCAAGACGCCTCACCGCGCTACAGAACCACGACCGGGCCCAAAACACCACCGCATTCCCTTGTTCCTGGTCCAGACGCCGCCGCCAACGCCAGATCCTCGACCCAGACACAGAGACCCAGTGTAATTACGTCAGGACAGACTCGCTGCTGTCTAATTACTGGAAGTCTGGAGGTGAAGAAACGCCGGGTCAGACATAGAAGGAACGTGACATGGCCCGGACCGGCGTGGAGGCGATGATGTCAGAGCTCTCTTAAACGCCGCGCTAACCGGTTATTACTGACCACGGTTGCAAACTTCACCCAGAACATGCATTGTCAGGGTGTCGGCGAGACGAGGTGGCCCTGGAAAACAGCCTGGAAAGTGCTTAATCTGTGTTGTTAAAGGCTGAAGGCTTGGATGTACAAGAGACGCATTGGTCACACTGTAAAAAATGATTAAAAATGAGGTGGTAATGATTGAATTAAGTGGATTTTGTCTTAATCTGACACATTCTGACCGTTTTTAAAACTAGATTCTCCAACGGGACGAAGACATTTAGGCGTATTTCAAGAACTGCTGCTTTATTTTCTCATTCCAACTGAGACATTTCTTTATCTTTTAATTAAAAACAAGATCATTTTGCTTTGTCCAAATGGAGAATCTAGTTTTAAGGCTCAGTCAGAATCTGCTCAAATTAAAATATATTTTGCTAAATTTCAGCAATTTCTCCCTTATTTTCTGTCCATTTTTGCAGTTCAAGCTCTCTAAAGAAATTGATAGAAGGTGTTATGGCTGTTTAAGTAAGTTTAAATAAGTTATAGAGTGTAAAAAAGCCAGTATTGCTTCATGACCATTGCCAAAACATGCCCGGCGATTGTGTCACGGTTTTTATTCCCGGTTTTATTTAGTAACTTGTCTCCTCGGTGTGTTCCTGCGTTTGAGGACAGGGGTGATGTGCTCTAAACCAGCGACCTCCAACGTTTTTAGAGCCACGGACCGGTTTAATGTCCGACAATAATTGCACGGCTGAATGTGGAACGCTGGGGTTCGGGATATGTCCTGACCCGGGTCTGAGTGAAAGTCTGACCGCTGTGGAATGGAAATAAAATCTGATTTACTGAAGTGACTGAGGCCAAAACCAAATGCGTTTTGAGAGTGAGTAAAAAGTCAGATGGATGGTGTTTGAAAAGTCAGAACCCCAGCTTTAACCAAACATTACTCCATCTCGGGAAAAAAAACAGGCATTTTTCTCAGAGCTCCAGCTTCAAATACAGATTCTAGACAAAACTCTATGAAAGCAAGCAAAGAGATGAGACAGAAGTGGGTTTAAATCAGCTTTTTCTGAGTCTAAAACCAGATTTTACTGTGAAACAAACACATGAAAGAAGAAATAAATAGATTTTTTTCGTTCTGTTCCATTTCCTTTGCCTCTGTGTCGGATCTTAAAGTGTCAAAGCCGTTCTTTTCTGGGTCGTTTCTCTGACTCAGACACGGATCTCAGCGATAACCTCCACCTCTGTCGTTCTTCTGTGTTATATTTGGAGCGTGTTTCGGTCTTCGGAGGATTTCGCTCAGATTCAAACGCCCGGATCCAACGTTAGCATCGACGCAGCGCTAAATAAAAACAGTCTCTGCAGGCCCCGACCATCTGGACTCGCAGAGATCTGTCTGTCTCCCCCATGGCCCGTCTCACGGAACGGACAAGTGTGATGTCTCTTTTTAGAAATGAAACGCCAAAGAAAGAGAGAAAGTGGTTTTATTGAGAGAGAGAGAGAGAGAAAGAGAGAAAGAAAGTAGTTTTATTGAGAGAGAGAGAGAGAAAGAAAGTGGTTCGAGACAGAGAGAGAGGGAGAGACAGAGAGAGAGTGAAAGAGAGAGACATATAGAGAGAAAGAAAGAAAGTGGTTCGATCGAGAGGGAGAGAGAGAGAGAGACGGTGAGAGGGAGAGAGAAACAGAGAGAGAGAAAGACAGGGAGAGAGAGAGAGAGAGACAGAGAGACAGAGAGAGAGACAGAGGAGAGAGAGAGAGAGAGAGAGACAGAGAGAGAGAAAGACAGGGAGAGAGAGAGACAGAGAGAGAGAAAGACAGGGAGAGAGGGAGAGAGAGACAAAGAGAGAGACAGAGGAGAGAGAGAGAGAGAGAGACAGAGAGAGAGAAAGACAGGGAGAGAGGGAGAGAGAGACAGAGAGACAAAGAGAGAGACAGAGGAGAGAGAGAGAGAGAGAGACAGAGAGAGAGAAAGACAGGGAGAGAGGGAGAGAGAGACAGAGAGAGAGACAGAGGAGAGACAGAGAGAGAGAGACAGAGAGAGAGAAAGACAGGGAGAGAGGGAGAGAGAGACAGAGAGAGACAGAGAGAGAGAGAGATGGGAAAGAAACATTGTTGGATTTCTGGGTCAGAGAGGATGGATGACGCTGGTCTGGACTGGTCTGGACTGGTTTGGACTGGTTTGGACTGGTTTGTTGGTGGTGGGACAGTCTCTTTGCTGCTGTGTACCTGGTGATGCAACACTGACATTTCCCGACAGTGAGAAGTATAAAGGATTCATCTGAATCTCTTGAACAGCCATACATGATGTCATATGTCTCCTTTAAACCTGAGCCGGTCCATTGCACCAGTCTGCAGAAGTAAGAAGGTCCTGGGTTCGATTCCACCTCCAGACCTTTCTGTGTGGAGTTTGCATGTTCTCCCTGTGCCTGCTCCGGTTTCTCTTACCACTAAAAATATGTACAATAGGTCTGCGTGCCTCCTGTATGTGTCAGCTGCAAGAGCCCCATTCATTTAAACAAGTGAGTTCTGAAGTCCACAGCGACTGAACTAGACTGGTCCAGAACACTCAGCATTGACACACATGTGGAACGGAGCTTTGGGCCAATCTGTGTGTCTCTGTGTGTGTGAGTGTGTGTGTATCTCTCTTTCTCTGTGTGTCTGTGTGTGTCTCTGTGTGTGTGTGTGTGTGTCTGTCTGTCTGTGTGTCTCTGTGTGTGTGAGTGTGTGTGTATCTCTCTTTCTCTGTGTCTCTGTGTGTGTGTGTGTGTGTGTGTGTTGTCTGTGTGTGTCTCTGTGTGTGTGTGTGTGTGTGTGTGTCTGTCTGTCTGTGTGTCTCTGTGTGTGTGAGTGTGTGTGTATCTCTCTTTCTCTGTGTGTCTGTGTGTGTCTCTGTGTGTGTGAGTGTGTGTGTATCTCTCTTTCTCTGTGTCTCTGTGTGTGTGTGTTTGTCTGTGTGTGTGTGTGTGTGTCTCTGTGTGTATCTCTCTTTATCTGTGTGTGTGTGTCTCTCTGTGTGTGTGTGTATCTCTCTGTGTGTGTGTGTGTCTCTCTCTGTGTGTGAGTGTGTGTGTGTTTGTCTGTGTGTATGTGTTTGTCTGTGTGTGCATCTCTCTTTCTCTGTGTGTTTGTTTGTGTGTGTGTGTGTTTATCTGTGTGTCTCTGTGTGTGTGTGTCTGTCTGTGTGTGTGTGTATGTATCTCTCTTTCTCTGTGTGTGTGTGTATCTTTGTGTGTCTGCGCCTCTCTCTGTGTGTGTGTGTTTGTCTGTGTGTCTGTGTGTGTTTGTGCATCTCTCGTTCTCTGTGTGTGTCTCTTTGTGTGTCTGTGTCTCTGTGTGTGATTGTCTGTGTGTGTGTGTAGAAGTGTGTTTTTTCCAGGAAATGAAAGCAGATTAATTGTGTGTCAGAACAGAGCTGCTGCTTGACGAGACAAAGAGCATGTGCAGATGTTGTGTTTCCGAAAAAGCCCTGTGTGTAAAAGACGGGAGCAAAGGGACCGGGAGGTGACTCACATGGAGCAAAGGGACCGGGAGGTGACTCACACGGAGCAAAGGGACCGGGAGGTGACTCACACAGAGCAAAGGGACCGGGAGGTGACTCACACAGAGCAAAGGGACCAGGAGGTGACTCACACAGAGCAAAGGGACCAGGAGGTGACTCACACAGAGCAAAGGGACGGGGAGGTGACTCACACGGAGCAAAGGGACCGGGAGGTGACTCACATGGAGCAAAGGGACCGGGAGGTGACTCACACGGAGCAAAGGGACCGGGAGGTGACTCACACGGAGCAAAGGGACCGGGATGTGACTCACACAGAGCAAAGGGACCGGGAGGTGACTCACACAGAGCAAAGGGACCGGGAGGTGACTCACACAGAGCAAAGGGACCGGGAGGTGACTCACACAGAGCAAAGGGACCGGGAGGTGACTCACACAGAGCAAAGGGACCGGGAGGTGACTCACACAGAGCAAAGGGACCGGGAGGTGACTCACACAGAGCAAAGGGACGGGGAGGTGACTCACTCAGAGCAAAGGGACCAGGAGGTGACCCACACAGAGCAAAGGGACGGGGAGGTGACTCACATGGAGCAAAGGGACCGGGAGGTGACTCACACGGAGCAAAGGGACCGGGAGGTGACTCACACAGAGCAAAGGGACCGGGAGGTGACTCACTCAGAGCAAAGGGACCGGGAGGTGACCCACACAGAGCAAAGGGACGGGGAGGTGACTCACACAGAGCAAAGGGACTGGGAGGTGACTCACTCAGAGCAAAGGGACCGGGAGGTGACTCACACGGAGCAAAGGGACCGGGAGGTGACTCACACGGAGCCAAGGGACTAGGAGGTGACTCACACGGAGCAAAGGGACCGGGAGGTGACTCACACAGAGCAAAGGGACGGGGAGGTGACTCACACGGAGCAAAGGGACCGGGAGGTGACTCACACGGAGCAAAGGGACCGGGAGGTGACTCACACAGAGCAAAGGGACCGGGATGTGACTCACACAGAGCAAAGGGACCGGGAGGTGACTCACACAGAGCAAAGGGACCGGGAGGTGACCCACACAGAGCAAAGGGACCGGGAGGTGACTCACACAGAGCAAAGGGACCGGGAGGTGACTCACACAGAGCAAAGGGACCGGGAGGTGACTCACACAGAGCAAAGGGACCGGGAGGTGACTCACACAGAGCAAAGGGACGGGGAGGTGACTCACACGGAGCAAAGGGACCGGGAGGTGACTCACACAGAGCAAAGGGACCGGGAGGTGACTCACTCAGAGCAAAGGGACCGGGAGGTGACTCACACAGAGCAAAGGGACCAGGAGGTGACTCACACAGAGCAAAGGGACCGGGAGGTGACTCACACAGAGCAAAGGGACCGGGATGTGACTCACACAGAGCAAAGGGACGGGGAGGTGACTCACACAGAGCAAAGGGACTGGGAGGTGACTCACTCAGAGCAAAGGGACCAGGAGGTGACCCACACAGAGCAAAGGGACGGGGAGGTGACTCACATGGAGCAAAGGGACCGGGAGGTGACTCACACGGAGCAAAGGGACCGGGAGGTGACTCACACGGAGCCAAGGGACTAGGAGGTGACTCACATGGAGCAAAGCGACCGGGAGGTGACTCACATGGAGCAAAGGGACCAGGAGGTGACCCACACAGAGCAAAGGGACCAGGAGGTGACCCACACAGAGCAAAGGGACCAGGAGGTGACCCACACAGAGCAAAGGGACGGGGAGGTGACTCACACAGACGTCTTCCATTAACCACACTCTTCGCTGCAGCTTTTCCAAGTTTACCTCCCACAGAATTCCTTCGTCATCCGCTCTAAACTTTTAAACCACAAAAATGCACATATTTGGATTCTTGTCTAAACTCTCATGTTTCAAACTCGCTCTTTCTCTGAGAAGGAACTTTAATATGTCTGTTTTTTACCTTGTCAAACTGCCACTGCTTCTACTGTTTACTCATGTGACTGTGTGAGTGATACTACTGAGACAGGGCCAGGAGGTGCATTCAGGAGCACAGGGAAAATCCAGGCTGATAACCAGACCAGAAAAGAAAAAAATATTCAAGAGTTCATATAGACAACATTTTATTCTCTTTACAATTAAATACTAATACACAATTCTTATCTCCTCCATTTCCCGAACTATCCTAACAACAAGACGACAAATGGAGGACTCTGAAGTCTTCTCTCTGTCCCTGCTCAGACTCACAATGTTATACTAAACATTCATCCATTTTCTTCCCCTTAATCCATTTCTGGGTCAGGGGGTGGCAGTCAGAGCTGCACCCAGTGAGTCCACAGGAGCTGAGATCTTTCAGTGGGGGCTTCAGGGAAAGTGGGGGTTAGGTGTGTTGCCCAAGGACACAACGACAGCAGTTATCAGTGGGAGTCGTGAAGAAGGTCTTGAGGTGGGCTCGAACCCACAACCTTCAGGCTCAGAGGCCAATGCTCTACCAACTGAGAAACGGTCGCATCCTTTTGTACTAAACAGTTTTATAAATATGTGCAGAAGAAGAAGAAGGGGCGCCAAAGACGTAATGATAAAACCCAAGGACTGGAGGTCCAAGTCCTGGTCTGGTCCAAGTCCTGGTCTGGTCCAAGTCCTGGTCTGGTCCAAGTCCTGGTCTGGTCCAAGTCCTGGTCTGGTTCCCATACTCATTTTTTAGCGAGATAAGACTCCCACTTCTCTGAAAGAACAATGGATCTCTGTAAAATCTCTGATCTCAGGATAATGTGAAAACACAACAGAAACATTTTGATAAATAATAAAACATTCCATGATTAAATATAGAATTTCACAGTTTGATAAATGTTGAACTATATAAATTTATCCTGTGTGAGATTAAATAATCTTAATGAGAACATGATTGTGTTTTTGTGTCTTCTGTATTTAAAATGTACAATCGTAGACAAGGCTCTGTCTGAAAGTGGTCAGACCGGTTTAGGAGCAGCGCCAGATCCCTCTCATTGTGGTTCTCCCCAAGGTTTCTCACTTTTTCCCACTCATTTTTGTTGTTGTCAATGCAGGTGGAGCAAACCGGAGCAGACACAGGGAGAACATGCAAATTCCACACGGAAAGGTCTGGAGGTGGAATTGAACCCATGTCCTTCTTGCTGTGACGCACAACCCGGTGGGGCTTGTTAAATAATTCACCGCTGCGTCTGATCCCCTGATACACCGCCGTAGACTCAGAGTTGGTTTTTCTCTCTCTCTGGATCCGGCTCAAAGGTCAAAGCCACGGTGCGCGGCGGTGAGGGTTTAGCTAGCGGCGTGTTTGCTTATTGTCACTCGAGTCCTTCTGCAAACTCTCCCTGACAGGATGGATGTGGCCGCGGCGCCCGAGACGCTACAGTTTAATTAGCCGCTGTCTTTGCTCGGGTAATGGGGAGGACGGTGAGGATGGCGTTTGACGATGAGGATGGCGTTTGACGATGAGGATGGCGTTGGACGGTGAGGATGGCGTAGGACGGTGAGGATGGCGTTGGACGGTGAGGATGGCGTTGGACGATGAGGATGCCGTTGGACGATGAGGATGGCGTTGGACGGTGAGGATGGCGTTGGACGGTGAGGATGGCGTTGGACGGTGAGGACGGTGAGGATGCCGTTGGACGGTGAGGATGGCGTTGGACGATGAGGATGGCGTTGGACGGTGAGGACGGTGAGGATGGCGTTGGACGGTGAGGACGGTGAGGATGCCGTTGGACGATGAGGATGGCGTTGGACGATGAGGATGGCGTTGGACGGTGAGGATGCCGTTGGACGGTGAGGATGCCGTTGGACGGTGAGGACGGTGAGGATGGCGTTGGACGGTGAGGACGGTGAGGATGCCGTTGGACGATGAGGATGCCGTTGGA